ATTATATATTCTATTATTCAGTTATTATATATAGGCATTATACAGTTGTAACGACTTGTGACTCAGCATTGGCGACTCAGAAATTAGACACGGACGATTTGGGAAATCAAACATCAAGTGGCCTGACAAAGTGCACTTAATTAGGAGTAAATCGCCCCAGAAACCCTCTTCACGTCTCCTCAGCCTCAACTATAATGTGCTGCTTTTAATGATATAGATATAGAAGGCTCCGTCCACACACATTGAAAAATAAATCTCATGTGGGTTCTGAAGATGCAGAGAGATTTATTTTTGTTTTCGAGTAGATATGCAACATGATGACCTGCTGTATATACAATTTAAGTATATCGAATACCATTTATCTCTCTGTATCATCTCTGGGTGTATGAGCTCACCATGGCAGGACGGCGTTATCATCTTATTTATTTATTTTCTTTGTGAGGGATTTTATTTCCTGGATGCCAAAAAAGACATTTCTGCCTTTTAATTTTTATCCATAGTCATTTGTCAAGAAAATGCATTATACTGTGAAATACTTAAAACATAATATTGTATATCGGCTATACACAATATAAAATTACGCATATAATGATTTAAGATTGCATCTACATCTCCCACTCATACAGCTTGAAGCAGTGAGGAATTGCATCATGACAATTTTACAGGATGTATAGTATATGGCTCGATACAGCAACAAGATTAGACTTGTATATTTATGTATTTATCTTTATTGTGTGAACTGAGCCTCTAAACTGTGACAATACAACAAGCCTTATAATATTGTTTGCCCTATTTTTATATTAACTCCATCAATGTAAATGTTTAGATCGGCCAGAGTGGATGTTCAGTGAGTTCTGGTACTTTAATCTCATGAGTAAACTACTTGAACCTTTGGTTTCTTTTATAGTTCTTGATGTTTTCTGGAGCCCACGTGGTGGGTGCAGAAGGGCAGTCCGGGCCTCACCACCTGACCGGTGCAGCATGGAGGCAGAAAGATGTCTGGGCAGAACGCCTCGCGTTTTTCAGGGTGGGGTTTTAAAGAGCCGCATCAAGCTCGAGACAATTCAATATAGTAAAGGACCGGAAGTTACCTGGGTTCCTCTTCAAAATAAGCTTAAGGTGTGTCATTCATGGGTACAAAAATACATGCAAGAAATACAAAAAAACATAAAATGCATAATATATCATAGTAGAATTGTTGTGAGTTAAGCAGTAATTGAATCATGGCTAACATGATGTATTTATAGCTGACGTTTCTTCTTAGAAGAACAAGTACGTGCTTTAGAGCAGGAGTCAAGACTAACATAATGTTGTTGTGAGGAGCAAACCCTGCGATTCCAGTTTGAACGTCGGTGAAGAAATCATGTGCAGCTTCTTGGATGCAGAGAATTGTGATCAGACTGTTCGGCCAGACTCTAGTGTGTCAAGTAGAAACTAAAGGAGAAGACAGTTTCTTTTTTGTTTGATAACTGAAGTGTTGACACTTTGGGTGACATTTACCTGTCATGCAGCAGTGTGTTTGGGAACATATTGGCACAAACATTATGTTTTTTTTCTCCTGTGGACTACACTGTCACACATTCACAAAAGTCCCCAAAGTGTTTATGAATGCCTGTTATTCTTCATCTTCTTCTTCTTCCTCTTCAGTATCATTCTAATCATTCAGAGTCATTGAGGACACTGAGGTCATGTCGTTTGTGGGATCTTGCAGTCATTATATCGCACAACTAAAAAGGTACAAATGGTGAGTATTTCATAGACTGTTTCCAGTATTTATGCTGTTATTTTAAATTTACCGACTGTGCAAATTTGGCCAACTGTCTAAGTGGCCCCAATACCGAAGGGCCCTGAAAACTACAGGTTCACTGTGAGGTAAGGGCTGCTGTGTCAAAACCTTATTTTAGGGTCACAATAATTTAGTGCTTACATGCTGCATATTCCTTCATTAATTTGTGTTTCATCAAATGACCACACAATAAACAGGAGCCATGTATGTGTGCAGCATGGACATAATGTACACACATGGCAACAGGATGTGAGTTAATAGAGGCCCAAGAAGTACTCACATCTCTAAGTAAAAGTAGAAATGAGTAGTACTCTGTTACAAGTTCACATAAAGTGATAGAAGTAAAGTATTAGCATCACAATGTACTCAAAGTACCTAAAGTAAAAGTACTCATTATGCAGAATGGCCTTTTTCAGTATGTTTATTTTTTTTATTGAATTACAATTATTGATGCATGAATGTGGATTTATTGTTCAAGCTGGTACAGGGCTTATATTTTACTATCACATACTGTTGGGTAGATTGTTGATTTCACGAAGGGATAAATAATGTCTTGTCTCAATCCATAATAATTTATTTGTTGAATATCTTATATATTTTTGCTATCTGCAACTGTTGTCAAACGTGTGTGTTTTATTTTGAAAGTTGTGACAGGAAGTCGGCTGCGTCTCTTTCAACATCGTGACGGTGTCGTCGCAGCGGATCCAGGAGACTTCGGCTCCGCTCGGAGAAACACACAGGACTGTATGGTGCAGAAACCGATTCATATCTTTACCTTTTTCTGAGGACCGGCTGTATGATTAAGCTACAATCTTCAATGAGTAAGCATATCCCAGTAAGTAACGTGTTTTTATTTTTTGGTGTCCGCCATGTTGTTTTTTTATTGCATCGGGTTTGTGTCTTGTCTGTGTCAAATCAGTACGTTATCGTCACCAGCTGGCCTTTCTCCTTCTTCGTTAAAATCACGGCCTGCTCAGCGTTTAATAACGGTCGGTGCGATGTTCGTCACGGTTTAAAAGGAAGCGACTGTCGCGAGGATGCGCAACCACGAGCTGGTCTCACGAGCTACTCACTCGGAAGTTACTAACGGTTAAAAAATATATCGATAATATATTTTTTTCTTCTTCTTCTTCACGTGAAATAAGTCAAAACGTATACATGTCGTCTTCTTCGCGGTTGTCCCACACAGACTGCCCGCCCGCTGCTTTAACGAGGCGTCGTATTTGTCGCCTTTAAAGCAGCGTAATGTAGATCGTCCACCTAAAGGCCTCTAACGTTAGACGATGGCGCCCGGTCTATCCTTCCTCACACAAAGGACACTTTACAGCCTCCTAGTGTCATGTCATCCGTTTAAAACACTGCTTTTACGCTTCTCACCTCCTCTGTCCTTTTATATCACCTTCCTCTGTGTCATTTTAGAGCTCTCTTTTTATTCGCTATGTCATAATTTTCTACCCAAAATGCTGCTTTGCAGCCGGAAAATACCGGATTAACAAAGCATTGAACAGCTTAGTGTTGTTTTTAGTATTTGGAGCATAAACTGCAGAGATACATGACATGTCAGTGGTTTAAAGGGCTAAAACACTAAAAAATATGTGCAATATAAATACACTGTGCAATACTACAACTATTCTCTCTGTATATATATTTTAGTTATTGTGGATTTTTTTACTTTAACATTATTTACTGTTGTATTACTGATTTATAATACTTGTTTTGATCTTGTTTTTTTACTATA